TTCAAGAGGGCCACAAGAGGCTCGAAATGACTGTTTTCCAGGATTTTGGAGGATTTGTTGCGGTTCTCACCTTTGCGGCTTCCCGACGCTCCAAGATAGCCGAAGAGGCTCCCGAGATCGCCCAAAGACGGCCCAAGAGGCCCCCAAGACGGCCCCAAGACAGCCCCTCCGTAGCCATTTTGGCTCAAACCATTTTGGCTCAAGCCATTGTGGCAAGTCTCCAGGCATTTGGAACACGTGGTTTGTGCCTATTGCCGCCCAGCCGCTGTTACTCCGCCGTTGCCGCAATGAACGTCGCGGTGCTTGCAGGTTCGTTCGCCATCCTGCTCGTCGGCCGCGGCTGCGTCGCCGCCGATGACCTGCACGAGACGTTGGAGGAGCGCCGCCTCATGGAGGGCGACTCGCACAATTGCGACGCCGCGAACGAGACCGACGTCGTGGGGCTGCTCCAGTTACGCCCCCACCCCTGCCACAACAAATGCCCTGAACCAAACACGTACGTCTGCAAAAGAGGAGAAGCAGACATTTGTACTTGCTGCACTGGTGACTACCCGACTTGGATTGCTCCAGGATCTGAATGCACCGGCGTGTGGTGGAACGCGTGCACGAGGGGGTATTGTTGTCAGAGAAATTATTGTAGACCGTGCCAGCTCAGTTGTCCTCCTCTCTGCGCCGCTGGGTCAGACGTTCTGCCCGTTCCCGTGCGAAACCGCACGCTTGCTCTAAGAGTCGCGTTCGCCGGGTCTGCCCGCCCGACGCGACCCCGGCGACGCGAGACGGGTGCAGCGAGCCTCGAGGAGGGAGCCCCACCGGAGAGGAGCGAGGAGAACGGTGGGGGAGGAGCAGAGCAGGCGCGCAAAGTTCGCTTTTTGCACTCCGCGGGCTGGAGCTCCCGCCCTCTGGCAAAGAGGCGTCGCGCGACGCAGGGCCTCGGCTGTGTGGCGCGCGGTGCCGGCTACCAGAGTGGATTGCGGTTCGCGACAGTGTTTCGCGTCCGAATGTTCCCAGGACAAAAAAAAGACGGCCCCAAGACAGCCCGAGAAGGACCGACGCAGCCCAAGAGGCCTCCAAGACGGTCCAACATAGCCCCAAGACGGCTCTGAGAAGGACCCCAGTCAGGGAATCCGAACGGACCTCTTCGAGCCTTCGGCCCCAAAAAGCCCCCAGGAGACTCCAAGAGGGGGCCCTGGAGGCCCCCAAGACGCCGCCAGAAGCCCCCGAAGGGCTCCCGAGATGCATGCCACAGGTGCACGACCAACAGATGCCACGGGCCATGCTCGTGCTTTCTCCCCAGTTGCTGGTCTGTGGGTATACGCCCCCCCCCGTGGCCCGACCCCCACCGCCAGGACCTTTCAGGGTCCAACATCTGCTTTCTCGTCGGAGGCCTCCAGGGGGCTGGGGCGAAAGAAGGGGGCTCTCAATAGCGGGAGTCGGAGCAGGAGGAGGATCACAGGAGGGATACCGTCCGTCCTCGGAGAAGGGGTCCACGAATCTGGCGATTTCAGGATCGGCACGTTTGATTATGTTGCTATTTCTGGTTAGGGGCAAAATCGGGCGCCTCTGAGAAGTTTGTGATCCACGTCGCATACGTAACAGGCATATTGTCTTGCCAACAGTTCGCCAATTGATGAGAGTCGTTCTCTGTCGTCACAGTCTGTCTTTTCCTCAGCATTTGGTTCATGACAAACATGCGGCGAATGACTCGCAAATAGACTGCAAGTCCCTGACACATCCGTGGCAGGTTGGTCTTTTTATAACTGGTTTTGAAGACCCCGTCTTGGGGTTTGCCCCAGAGAGTCTGATAGGTGCCCCTTGGGTGGGAACAACGGCCGTGGAACCTCCGATAGAGCCCAGGGTGTCGGATGCCCAAGAGCCTCGTGGGAGCCTTGCTGATGGTAGTGGGATCCTGGTCCTGGTGGATGCACTGATCGAAGACCACTGTTGTCACAGGTGGGGCTGCCATAAGAGCTTGGATGGGGTCCCACTGGAAGCTCGAGGGGGCCCGTGGTTGCCACATTGCTGGTTGTGGATGCTCGGGCCAGCCCGAGGTACCAGCAGTAATGTGGCAGCAGAGTAAGCATATCAGTGACTGCAGTAGCTGATTCCCTGCATCCAATTGTAGTGGCTGCCGTGGCGTAGCTCCGGGAACTCCACAGGCCCACTCGCGGCTGCGGAGCCGGGGTGGGGCCCGTACGTGCCATCTGGCAGCACACCGGTTTTCGCAGGGGGCCCCCCACGTTGTTCCACACGCGCCGTGCAAGGATATGTGAGGCCTATACTTGTATAGTATCCTGGTTGTGTAGCATCAAAGGAAGAGGGGGTAAGAGGAGGAGGGAGGCGGGAGGACTGGAGACCGGAGCGCTCTATTCAAAGCGAAGGAAGGCCCACAGCAGGAGGATTGATAATGTTTCATTCTTTTGCTTTCATTTTGCTCCTCCAGCCGACAGTCGGCTCCGCTAATTGACGGTGCACGCGGGCTGGTCCCAGAGGCCCCCGAGAGGGTCCCAAGACAGCCCCACAGGCGTCGCTCATGTTGCATCCGTCGGTCATTGGGTCGACGATGGAGGTTCGAGGTGGGTTTTCTCCGATGTACTATTCCCGTTCTGGCCGCGAGCCTGAGGGGTCACGGCTACCCCGGTGCTGGCTCCCGCGAGATTTGTTTTTTGAATAGTTGTTTAAGGCGATTGAGCTAGTTTGGGGGGTCACAGCTATTCCGGCGTTGGCTCGTGGGGCAGGGTTGCGTCGTAGTCATCATCATCGTCGTAGCGTCGTTGTTGTCTGTCGTCAGTGACCTCTCTGTCGTCCTCGCCCACGCTGCATCCGTCGTCCATCGGCGTTCGACGGTCCATCGGCGCTCGACGATCGAGGCTCGAGGCTGATTTCTCAGTCGTTCCATTTACGCTCTGGCCGCGAGCTATTCGTTATCATATGCTGCAACTGCTCCTTCTCATCGAGAGTGCCGATGTCTACGAGGGCCAGCGGCTGGATTATATGCCTGGCAGTCCTCAGTGAGTCAGTTATCCACAGCTTTTCCTGCAACCGCTCCCAACCTCATTCGCTCCGCGGCGCATCCGATGCTCGTGCCAGGGTAGAACCTAAGCGCGCGCGAAGCGCGCGCGTGGTTCTAGTGTATGTATGTGTGTGTATATATATATATATATATATATATATATATATATATATATATGCCCAGCCCCCCCCCCCCAGCACCCCATCCTGTAGCGAGCGATCACTCCGATGACCTTCCTTCTCCTCCACAACCTCCTCCTACCACTCCTTATCCTTCTCCTTTTCCTCGTCCTTCCTCTCCTCATCCTCATCCTCCTGTTCCTCCGCCTCAGCGTCCTCACCAAACATAGTTCAGCCTCCCCACCGCCCAGGCATCGTTCCTCGCCCTCCTTTTCCTTCTCCTGTCCCTCACCCTGCTTCATCTCCTCTTCCTCGTCGTCCTCCTCCTCCTCCTCCTCCTCCTCCTCTTCCTCCTCCTCGTCCATCTACTGACTAGGCGTAGGGCGTGCGTTTACACATGTATCTTATTTCGGCTGGGCCGAAGTTCTTTTGTGAAACCAGATGTATGCTCACACGAGCACTCTTCTTGCAGATGTCGTCCGCGTAGCGAAATGTTGGACCTGTGACATGCTAACAGTTGCGCCCTCGGCGATCGAGAATACAACCGTCTCAGATTGCTTGCGCCATAGGTTGCGCCCTGGGTGGCCGAGGATACACCCGTTTCTTATCGGTTGCACCATATATTGCGACTTCAGCGGCCGAGAAAACAACTGTTTCCTATTGGTCGTGCCATAGGTTGCGCCTTCGGCCGTCAAGAACAGGGGGAGGTTGATCAGGGGGAGGGGGATCAGTGTTGATCAGGGGGAGGAGGAAGAGGAGAAGGAGGAGGAGGAGGAGAGGAGGGGGGGAAGGAGGAGGAGGAGGAGGAGGAGGAGGAGGAGGAAGAGGAGGAGGAGGAGGAGGAGGAGGAAGGTGAGGAAGAGAAGGGGGGGGCAGGCGGCGGAGGAGGAGAAGGAGGAGGACGAGGAGGAGGAGGAAAAGGAGGAGCACGGGAGAAGGAAGAAGGTGCGAAAGAGGATGCAAAGGGAGAAGGTGCGGAGGAGAAGGAGGATGATGAGGAGGAGGAGGAGGATAAGGAGGAGGAGGAAGGGAAAAGGAGGAGAAAGAGGAGGAGGAGGAAGAGGGGGAGGAGGACGAGGAGGAGGAGGAAGATGAGGAAGAGAAGAGAGGGGACCAGGAGGAGGATGAGGAGGAGGAGGAGGGAAGGAGGAGGAATAGAAGGAGGATGAGGAGGAAGGGAGGGGGAGGAGGAGGAGGAGGGGGAGGAGGACGAGGATGATGATGATGATGATGATGATGAGGAGGAGGAGGAGGAGGAGGAGGAGGAGGACGAGGATGATGATGATGATGATGATGATGATGATGATGAGGAGGAGGAGGAGGAGGAGGAGGAGGAGGAGGAAGAGGAGCAACAGCAGCAATAGCAGCAGTATGGCCACGAAACCTTGCTATTCACATGTTTTTTGTTTTTGTCGGTCGGTGATACCACCAAACACTGCTATTCAAGTTGTTTTTCGTTTTCGGAGATTCCAAGGACTGCCTCGCCAGGAGAGTATACCGGACCTCTTGAAACCAGACTCGTGCACCGAGACGCCCGGATCGCCTGTAGTTTTTGTTGTGCGGTCCTTGCCTGGCGGCCTCTTGTGGCTCCTGCCCTCTTCTGCGTGTGGACAGATCCCAACGGATGCAACTCCTGGGAGGTTAAATTCTGACTTTGCCCTGGTCCGAAAACCGGCTTAATCCGGCTTGATCCCGCTTAATCCGGCTTAATCCCGCTCAATCCCGCTTAATCCGGCTTAATCCTGCTTAGTCCGAGGCCCATTCCGGCGTAACAGTCCCTAAATGGGACTTAATCCTCTTTCATTTCTCCGACGAAAACCTCCCAGTAGTTGCCTCCTAAGATCCCGGTCGCAGCGTCCGCGCGGGCCCAGGCGACTTGGGCCTCATGGACATCTTCGGGGGCGGCGGTGGGGCGCCCGCCGGCGGAGCTGCCCCGGTGGAGGTGCTGGCTTACGAGAAGGCCCCTCGGCGCCCCCCGCCGCCCAGCGCCGCCGGGGGGAGGAGGAGGCCGGAGGGCAGGAGAGGAGGTCGCCTCCTCCTCCTCCTCCTCCTCCTCCTCCTCCTCCTCCTCCTCCTCCTCCTCCTCCTATCGGGGAGGAGAGCCCCGAATCATCAGGGGTAACTCGGGTCAGGGATAACTCGGGTTCGTTTTTTCGGGAACCCGAACCCGAGTTATCCCGGGCCCGAGTTACCCCGGATAACTCGGGCGCCCAGAGCCCCAGATCATCCGGGGTAACTCGGGTCAGGGCTAACTCGGGTTCCTTTTTCGGGAACCCAAACCCGAGTTATCCCGGGCCCGAGTTGCCCCGGATAACTCGGGCGCCCAGAGCCCCAGATCATCAGGGATAACTCGGGTCAGGGCTAACTCGGGTTCCTTTTTCGGGAACCCAAACCCGCGTTATCCCGGACCCGAGTTACCCCGGATAACTCGGGCGCCCAGAGCCCCAGATCATCAGGGGATAACTCGGGTCAGGGCTAACTCGGGTTCCTTTTTCGGGAACCCAAACCCGAGTTACCCCGGACCCGAGTTACCCCGGATAACTCGGGCGTCCAAGGTCGCATCGGGGAGGAGAGGATGATGATTACGTTGATGTTGATGCTGATGATGATGCTGATGATGACCGTGATCATGATGATGCTGCCAATGATGATGATGATGGTTATCATGATGGTGTTGATGGTGATGCTATGTTGATGATGATTAGGTTGATGCGGATGCGGATGCTGATGATGATGCTGGTGTTAATGCTGATGAGGACGAGGATGAGGATGAGGATGAGGGTGATGCTAATGATGATGCTGATGCTGATGCTGATGCTGATGATGGCGAGGATGATGATGATGATGATGATGATGATGCTGATGATGCTGATGATGCTGATGCTGAAGATGATGATGTGTATCATTATGATGATGTTCATGGTGACGATAAGTTGATGGTTATGGTGATGATGATGCTGATGCTGATGCTGCTGATGATGATGCTGATACGGATGAGGATGAGGAGTTGGGTGATGCTGATTATTATTACGAGTATGATGATGTTGATGCTATTGATGATGCTGCTGTTGATGCTGATGATGGCGATGATGACGTTGATGATGACGTTGTTGATGATGATGATGATGATGATGATGATGATGATGATGATGATGATGATGATGAATAAAATGGATGTGATGATGATGATGACGATGCCGATGATGATGATTATGTTGTTGTTTATATTGATGATGCTGATGCTGATGCTGATGATGCTATGGTATGATGCGGATGATGATATGATGCTGATGCTGATGCTGATGCTGATAATCATGGTAATGCTGATGATGATGCTGATGAAGATGATGATGATGATGAGGATGAGGATGAGGATGAGGATGAGGAGGAGGAGGAGGAGGAGGAGGAGGAGGAGGAGGAGGAGGAGGAGGAGGGGGAGAAGGAGGAGCAGGAGGAGGAGGATGAGGAGGAGGAGGAGGGGGAGAAGGAGGAGCAGGAGGATGGAGGATGAGCAGGAGGAGCAGAGGAGTAGGAGGAGGAGGTGGAGTTTTTCCCCAGGTGGAGCAGCCGGGCTCTTCATAGCGCAGCCGGTGTAGCACGAGACTACAGGAGAGCTTGAGCAGCGGGTCGAGCGTGGAGCACGCAGTCACCTACATGCGTTTCTGTTTCTCGGGGGCGGACAGAACCCCCAATAGTGACACGTCGATTAGTGAATTGTCCGTTTTCGGTTCTCGAGAGGGCGCCGCGGCCGTTATTTTTCAGGCTTGCGCCCGCCAGGTTTGGGTCTCAGGTCGTTTTCACTAAACCACGTTTTACTAAAGGGAGGTCTGTCCATCCCCGAGTTTCCTTCTCGTCCCACTCCCACCCCAACCCCTTTCTAATCCCCTGTGCCGTCAGGAGGTGGCAGCACATGGAGCCCACAATACATGGCGTCCAGCAGCGCCGCTCCGAGCGGCAGAGGGCGGCTGGCAGCCACAGGAGCTCCGCCTCTCGGATCCCGTGGCTCCCAAAGCCGCTCGAGCCGGAAAGCGGTGGCCGAGCTTCGGACCACTCCTCCCCGGCAGTGCTGCGCAAGCCTCCTGGTGCTTCTCGGGGGCGGAAAAGAGGGGGGTGATGACTAGGGGGGGGTGGATATCATGGCGGGGGCCATGATATTTTCCCAGATTTCATGGCGCCTCTTCTTAGTTCATTACGTTCCTGGCCCCCGGTCATGATTTGCACCCCCCCTCTTGGACGCCCCCCTCTTGGCCGCTCCCGAGCTTTCTTTCGATGAAACCACCGCAACCGGAAGTTCTGGACGTCATTTCAGTTATGTCTTTTGTCGGTTGTTTCTGCGTTGCGGCTGTCGTTGGCGAGTGTTGCTGGTCTGACGCAGCGCTCTCTCGAAAGGCTGCAGCCTGGCCGCTTGCGGCTGTTTTCCCGTGGAGATTCCCGTCAATGTGCTTTCGCGAGGCTGAGTGCGGATCGCGCGCGGCGGGGCCCGTTTGCCACAACCCATGCGCGCGCTGATCAGGGGAGGTCGTAGTAGTAAAAACGTGGTCGTTGCGGCATTGCAGCGCTATGGTTAAGGCGGCGCGTAACGCCGGTTTCGCTTGTTAGTTGCGCACGTCTTGCATGGGCGGATTGCCCCCGCGCCGCGATGCTTCGCACGGCGTGATTGCGCAGATTTGGGGTGACGACGCGCTCGTTCATGCGGGCAGAGCGCCTCCGCGTGGCGAGGCCTCGTGTAGCGTCTAGCATGCCGCCAAGTTTGTTCCCTGTGGGCAATCGACCCCCCGCCCCCTTCTAGGCGGCGCGCCAAAACAAACATAGGAATGTAGTTTTTTCTGTTTTGTTCAGCGCTTGCGCTTGCCACGTTCGTTTGGGCGGTGATCATTTGTGGTTCGCCTCTCGCCCGGCCTCTTCCCTTTGCCCTACCCTTCCTTCTTTTCGCATTGTTTTTGGAGTTTTCTCACTGTGCGCATCTCAAAATGGAGAGCTCGGTCGTCTCGTTTCGAGGGGGGGGGTTCGAACCGGTAGTCCCCCCCCCCCTTTCATGATGGACTGGGGGAGGGGGAGGGTTTCGAACCGGTAGTGACGCCCCCCGGTTTTCCGGGGGGGGCCGAACCGGTAGTGACCCCCCCCCTTTTTCCGCCAGCAGCGGTAGAACACGCTCTTTCGTATATATGTATATGTGTACGTAGACTGTAACACTATAGTGTGGGTGCCACCTTGGACTTGCAGTTTGCAGTATTGGAGTTTCTTGCGGACCTGAGGACACTCCGCTCAGTGCCAGTGGCGGACATGAGACGGGATGTGAGGTGGTGAGGTCAGGCGGTCAGCCCGCCTAGCATGGGGCGTCTACGGTCGCGAGTCGACACGGTTGCGACCCCAGCGCGGGCATTCAAGGTGGAACGCCGTTTGTGGCCCAATATCAGCCAAGATTGAACGATGTGGCGATCGAAAAGCCGCTGACCGTTTCAGGCTGGACGATCCGTTTATTTTCAGAAACCAACGCCATGGTTGTCAGGTTGCGATCTTGCCGTAATTCGGTCCTGGGTGGTATTGCTGCTCTTTGGTGGGTGGGGTCGGAGCATGCAGCGCAGTGGGCGCGAGAGGATGTGATTTGTATAGGGGTTGCAATACATCAGCAAGGGAACACGAGGCGCTTGCGGGCAAGATGGCTTGTGGGGGGGGGGAATGTTATAAGATGATGTTCGGGGCGAAAAGGTGGGAAACACGAGGAGGCAGGAATAGGGCAGACGGGTTACGACACTGGGGCGAGAAGAGAGGGGAGAGAGGGAGAGAGAGAGAGAGAGAAATGGAGAGGTAGAGAGGGTGAGAGAGTGAAATGGAAAGCGCAATGGTGATACATACATATAGATATAGACAGAGAGGGAGAGGGAGGAATAAGGGCAGGGATCGAACAAGTGAGGTAGATAAGCATAACGTATCTCAATCTATGCATAACGAGTAAAGGGTGAGAGAGACATGACATGTTTGAAAGAGACATACATGTATGCATACATCTATCTGTCTACTTATGTGCACAAACACTAAACTTTGTGTGTATGTGCGGAAGTGAGAGTGGTACTGATAGGAAAGGCAGGACAGGACACCGACGAAACACGAAAAGCGAATGGAGACACACCGATGCGGACCGCGGGTCCAACGGCCGAGCGGGTAAGCGGCTCGTGCCGTCCCCTCTCAAGGCTGGAGGGCAGCCTAAAGAAACGGGGGCCGCACACCCGCGCATCGGCTAACGCGATTGTGCAGGCGTGACCCGCCAGCGACCCGAGTATGACTGCGGATCTGTGGCTTGGAGCGGCGAAGGCGCGGGGAGGGCGATAGGCGGTACCCATCGAAAGTTGAAAGTGGTACATTTGAAGTCGAAAGTTTGGAGCGCCTCTCTACTTCAATGATCGAGTGGCGTCATCTTGTCCGTCCTCCCATGTGGGTGGACGGAGCCCAAAGGAGGATGAGGAGGAGGAGGGAGGAGGAGGAGGAGGCGGGAGGAGGATGAGGAGGAGAACTCTACTTTCAACGCCTTCATACTTCGTGATTCTTTCTACCTACTTTTTCTGACCGATAGCTGGTGGCGTGCCGCCCTTCCCGCGGAGAGAACGAGCCGCCTGGGGGGCAGCCGCCAGCTCTGAAGCGCCAGTCCATGGCCAGCTTGCCAGGTCTCATTTCGATTCCTCCAATTCGATTCGATTCGATTGTGAGTATTCCCAATTCCGATTCGACTGGATTCCCGATTCCGATGATGGTTTCGATTTCTTAATGGAGGCCTACTAGGCTGCCGATTTCCGCCGATTCGATGTTTCCCAAGTCGGCTGCCGATTTCCGCCGACCCCATTCATTTCGATGGCCGATCCGACTTGTCGTTTCGATTCTGGGCTCCCCTGGCTTGCCAGGCTAGAACGCAGCCCCTCCTCCTCATCCTCCTCCCCCACCTTCTCCTCCTTCTCCTCCTCCTCC